GCCGCCTTGTCACGTTGAGGTGCAGACTGAGGCTCCGGGTGCAAGCAGAGCGATACCAACGGGGTTGTATCAAGGTTGAATATAAAGTGAAAATTTACCTCGTTTAAAGCGTGTAATATATCTGTTCGCTCACTTCCCGATCTACTGAGCCGACCTGTGACAGTCTCACTGTCACAGGTCGGCTAGAACTATGAGGTGAGTGGAAATCACTCATCTCATAGTTCTCCTTTTAAAGGAGAACTATGGGGTCAGGGCTTTTCCCCATAGTTCTCCTTAGGGTAACGGGAGGACACAAATTAGCGTCCTCCCGTCACCCTAAGCTCAGTATAGCTAGCAGTATACTGAGACGCCGCAGCAGCCACATACTGGATCAGCCCAGCTGCGTGAGTGAGGCTCCTTCTTCCATCAGCCATAGGCTACTTCTGCCATCAGTATTCTCCCCCTGCACCCAGGAAGTACGGGGAACGGAGGATCACTTCCTTCTGCCATCAATGAAAGAGAGAAGGGGCGTGGCCTGCCACAGGACTTTGTGTGTGGCTATGGACGCACACAGCCACTGCATGCAGGAGCGTGCGCGATTGCCTCCATTAGAACGATGGTGGCACCCGTACAGGGGGCGGGGGGAAGAACGCTGCGGGGACCCACTTGAAAACGAGAAATGAAAAGATTTTAAAGAAAAACAACAACAGCCTCAGGCAAAGGTGTGCATCCTTATAGCAAATATTTTTTTTTAAAAGGAGGGTTTAATATCGCTTTAAGGGTTTGCATAAATGGGCAAATGCTACGTGCTTATAAGTAGTCCCTGCTGTCAAGGAACTTACAATCCATGTTCCCTACCTTTTTATATTTATACACACACACATACTAGGGCCGATTTACCTACCAGCACGTCTTTGGAGTGCGGGAGGAAACTCGTATACGCACAGATAGAACATACAAACTGCATGCAGATAGTGTCCTGGTTGGGATTCCAACTAATGACCCCAGTGCTGCAAGGCAGGTGTGCTAACCACTAAGCAAGTGACCTCTTCCCAAGATGACTTAGAGGCTAATTGTCAGGTCCACACATTCTCATCAACCCTTTGTAAGCTCCGACACCATCTGCAATGAAGCTTACAAAGGGCTAGTTCACGCCAGATGCAGTTGTGATGCCGTCCCTCCAGTGTGGCAGCTGCATCAAAATCGCATCACAATGCTTTCCAATGGGATTTCTGGTGCTCTTTTCACACCAGGGCAGTCAGTTCTGATGCAGTGATAAAAAATCCTGCTTTCCACATTTTAGCTGCGCCTGATCGCAACGGAATGCAACAAAAACGCATGCAAACGCAGTGGACTGCACCTGAAAGGCCATTTTAAGCTAAAAAAAAAGCCTCAAAATCGCAGTAGAATCGCAACAAAACGCATCGCCCTGCAGCTGCACAGCCGCACGCCGTTCTGATGCAGTTAGGTTTGATCTAGCCCTTGTCTGTGAAATATGCCATTGAATGAATTTTGTTATATCTGCTCGGTAAGTGTAAAAACAACACCTGGTGATCCTGCCATAATCCTGCAAGCTCCTAACTTCTGTGCTGCTTTCAAGCAGTGCTTTCAGCCCTGTCCAGTTCTCATCTATGGACTGCAGAACACCCCCCTTCCTCATCTCCATAAATTAAGGTGGAGGTGCTCTGCTTATAAGTAGTCATTGTACATTAACATCCATCCCCTGCTGTCAAGGAACTTACAATCTAAGTTCCCTTCCTCCTATACATACACACACACATACAAGAGCGAGCAGCCTAGAGTGACAACGCTGCTCCTTCATAGATATAGTACGGTGAGTGTTGTCACCCTAGGACAGGAAGTGTGTTCCTGGCAGGATCACCAGGAGGATGTATGGTAAAGAAGACTGAAAAAGGAATGCAGCCACCACATCTAATGACCGTTCAGCTGCAATATATCACATTTTTCTTCTAGATACATTTTAAGCTGCTCACTTCTGCCTGTAACACAAACATTTTGGGTCTCTATTAGAGCTGATTTGGCCCTGAACACGGGTGTCTAATTTTTCATCAGTGATGAACTCGCTTCATCTCCAAAATGCTTTGTACATCCTAGAAAACCTTTTAGCGATGTTCAAATCAATTAGCGAGGCCAGGGGTGCAGCTCGTCCGACAAAGCCATGCAACGTTGCCTTAGAAACAAATTTATTTTTATCAATGAGAGAGATGCGGTGTCCAGACCATCTCCAGAGGACTGTCACACTTTTACAGACGATGGGGCACCATCTTGGCTTACAATGTGCCACCAATCCCCCATGGCATCAGACAGGTTAAGCATTCATGACTGTAGCCGGTCAGCCCCTCAAGGGGAACACGGGCCATCTGTTGGATCGCAGCCCCGCTATGTCTACCGTCTTCCTGTTCTCCCTCCTGCTGTTGAAGCCTGAATGCTTTGCAGCGGTTATTAAAAGATAGCTACGGATGGCGTGCCTCTGCCAGCCGACTTAAATGCAGATAGGTGTCGGATTTTTGATGTGCTGAATTATTCAGTAGCCTGCGTCCTTCTTTTTTTTTTTGTTAATATGGATTAGACAATTTATTATGTCTCATAATTAATGTACGAGTTCACATCATTATTCTTTAAGTAACCGTTGAGCTTTATGACCTTGAGCCAGAAGGTTGACATTGATTACTGGGCCATTGCTATTCCTGGTCTGCCAGCAGTCTGTCGAGGAACTACAACTGTTAACAACGTTCATGTTGGCAAACGGGGAATATGGGTGCCCAGTGGAGGGGCCCTGGTTGGGTCCCTGGTTCTTCTAAATGACAAACAATGTTAATGTTTAGTACTGAAGTCTTAACAGGGTAATTAGACGAGGAAACACTGCACATAAGCCATCAAAGACAACCATACCCTTCTGAAGATGCACCCTTCCCATGAGTCACCTTATTGCTTCTTGAAGCCAAAGTCGTCTTTAAAGGACCCTGGTGTCTGGTGAGTAGCCAAGGGGATGGCCTGACCCCTATGTCATTTAAAAGGCATCTGGGAACACGTGACACAAACATGCACCGGCTACATAGTTTGATTGGTTAATTTGTGCCACATCCCCATGTACCTTGTACCAGCAGTTGTCAGGACCATATTATTGATGGTCCACTTGTGTAATGGGCACATTGCCTAGCTTGCTCCTCCTCAGATGCCTCAGTCCTCTTTCCATGCCTAGGCACAGAAAGTGCCCTGAGTCTTGTGGGTGGATCCAGCTCCGGCTGGCACAATTACAATCAGAATGTCATTTAATTTTGGTGTGGCAGTCAGACACAGGCCTCCCAGGACTGGAACCCGGTGGCTGCCTGAGTCACTCATACGGTAATCGTCCATTGGTCAAGCACCCTGGTCACCTGCCAAGCCCTAGGTCTCGTGGGCAATCCTGCTGTGGCCGGCACAGTTGAGTGCAAAATAGCTTTTTGGTGTGGCGGTCATGCAGCCATGTGCTCCCCTGGTAGGTCTAGACTTTTGGGCAGTCACCCTAATTGTCATCCACCACTGTAAAGGGGGAAGGGCCGACTGGTCATCAGGAAGTGGGGTCTGTAAAAAGCAGCTGGACTTCAGAGTAGCCTACAGCTGTGTATAGACAGCACACCTCCACAAATGACATGGGGAACCCTCTTGGATGTGAGACTCCAGTTTATGTACAGTCTTCCTGTGTCTCTTAAGGTGCTCTTCATGTTGCCTACAATAAAAATGAAGAACCTGTATAGCAGCTGATGTATTCGGAGCTGTAGGGGTAACGATCGTTGGCATTAATGCCCTATAATTAATGAGATACTAATAATGCCAGTTGTGAGACCCATTCAACACTTATGCCAGGCACTGAGTGTCAGACTTTTAGTTCATTCTCTCATTTTATCTTTTTGGAAGGAAAAGTAAAAAAAAGGAATCTATAAAGAATGAGTGTTCACCAGGGTCTGTATTTTGCCCGTGGCTTGCCAGTCTACCATCATTGCTCAGCTATGGTAAAGCCACCAGTATATGGAGTTAACATGGAAGAAGGTTGGTTTTACATCACACACACTGATGTAAAGTCTGTGATGCTTTTGCATAGAAGCCGACCTCATATCAGCATAGGCGCACACAGATCTGCTTAGGTGCATCCTTTAGTCGGAAAAGCGTAAATGAGTATGCATGAACAGAGGTGGCCCTTTTAGTGCGCCTATGGTGCGCTCATCAACCAATAAACGATTGTCTTGGTAAACCAGCCAGCTCATAAGTGTGCACATGCCCTTAAATCTGACTCAACATCCACGGGTCTGCAATAGATATATAATAACCACAACTGCTGGTGCAAATCATACAATTATTTCTATCACAGCTTGGAGCATATGTGGGCAAATCTCTTGTATATATCCATCCATCTGACTGCCAGGTCTGCTTCATTTATAGCCTGTAGCGGCATTACGGCTGGCAGGCTGCAGATGGGGTGTGTAGCCTATAGCATTGAAGAACTACAAGTCACAACATTCACTACCAGCCAAAAGTGATTGCTATAAAACAGGCTCAGCAACCCAATGCCTTCCCATCTGCTCAGGAGCTACAAGTCCCAGCATGCAAGTAAAAGTCACAGCGTGCCAGGCAGGTCGGCAGTGACCGCTGTGACAAGATTCATGACACACAGTTGTTAAGGGACTACAAGTCCTACCATTGGCCCAACAACAGACATTGCAGCTTTATATACATTCCTGCAGCCAGGGAGTTACAAGCATACCTAGCCAGGAGCATTTGCTCCTCTCAGCCGTAACTTCCTATTTATTGGGGGACCACAAGTCCCAGAAGGCAACCGCAGCTATAAAACCACAACTGGTGGCCATCTAGCGATGGAGTAACTACACATTCCAGCATGCCCTACTGGGGGACATATTGGGGATTATATTCCCATAACAGCTGCAGGGCCACTCCTGCATTGGAGGAAGGGGTGAGGATGGATGATGAATCCGGGGTTATAAAGAGATTTGATAAAGACATACCTGACTTTAAGGTGTCGGCAAGAAATGCTCGAGCAGCAGCTGACAGGTAGATTCGAGCGAGCGTCTGTGCATTTCTGCAGTCATCCTCTGATCCGTGAATTGTTTACCCATGTCACTCTTCACCACTTACAGGTGTACAAGAAGAAAGCAGCCACCACGGTGCGAGGAATCACTCACACACTGACAGAGCAGGAGGAAGATTTTGCTGGGAAGGCAGCCCGCTACCAGCGTGAGATGAAGCACCTCCACTGGCTCCTACAAGACAGGCAGGAAACGCTCAATGAAGCCTTGCAGCAGAAGAAGTAAGTCAAAG